TTCTGTCAAGTTGAGGATTTCATTATTGGTTATCTGATCAGCAAGCATAAAATGTGATATGTGTATATTTGTTTGTGTATTTCTGTGGCCATCCACCACACTGCAATGCAGATCTTCAACATGGTATTTCATCTCTATTTCTTATACTTTGTTTACTACATAATGGTATGCCACATATAAATTAACTGTTAATCCTATGCTTCATATTTCAAAAAGTCACATCGATATTTAATCCTTTTATCAGCATTTTGAAAATCCTCTCCTTCAAGAGCTCTGAGGTGTATTATTTTTATGGTTTAGATACTTAAAACCTATTGTTTAATAACTGCTCAGGATTTGGGGAACATCATGGCCGAGTGGACTTGTATAATATGCTTAAGTCCTGGGAATCTGCGCTCTTTCTCCTAGAGGAAGGTTGGGTTGAAGGATGAACATATTGATATTTCCTCTGGTTCTGAAAGAAATCACATGTATAAATAGTGTCAATTAAAACTCCTGTCCTAAAGTCATTCTAAAACAGCTGTGCTTTTCTTTTAAATGCACTATGTCCTTGGACATGTTTCTTAACCACTTTGACCTTGGTTTCTCATCTCTGAAGTGGAGATGATACGACTCCTTACCTCAAAGTATTGCAAAAAATACTGGTTTCAGGTCTATTTAGGGCCTACTACCCTCACTTGAGAAAGTAAGAAAGACTAATAGAAAGACTAATAGGGTGCATGTTTTAGCTTCCCCTAGCCATTTGGAGAGTTTAACCACAAAACCTGAAAAAAAAAAAAAAAACAAAAAACAGGTATCAGAGATTCTTTGTTCTCTTGACTCTTCAAGCTCAAAAGCAGGAGGGGAGCAGATAGGAACCATAAGCTTCCCCGTGGGGGAAAAAAAAGAAGAGGCTATCTCCTATTTCATGGTCTGTTGACAAATGTGGTTCTCTTGGTAATGATGGCTTGGGTTGAGAGATTTCAATGTTAATACAGAGAAATACACATACAATGGGATTGGCCTAAAGAGAAAAAGGGTATTATTCAGGTGTTAGGAACTTGTTTAATCATTAAATGGTGAAAAAGAATAGAATTTGGTCTGTAATCCATTCATTATTTTTTTCTTCTCATTTAATCTATGTTATATGTGTAAAGAAGTAATTAACAACCTCCTATATCACAGTGCACACTGTCTTACCTCAGTATCTCACATGACTAGTTCTATAGCTAGCATAAGTGTATAACACACATCATGGGATGAATAAATGCATGGCTAAATGAAAGAGCATTATCTTAAAAAATAAAATAAATAAAATAAAAATATAAAAAAATAAATGAAAGAGCATTATTTTAATGATATTACTGACAATAATGGTCAAGATTACTTTTTGGCCAAATTATATCATTGTAAAACAGCACAAATAGTAAAATAGTTGGAAAAAGTTCTGAGTATAGTATACAGTATTTGCACAGTGAACTGTCAAGGCATATCTGATGAGCTGTTGAAGGCGGAACCTCCTAGTTGCTTAGACGATTGAGCTAATACTTAAGGGAAATGCAGAGAATAATTGACACACCTAAGAGAGACATCTTCCTAGGGAATGCTGTGATCCTCAGGGTTTATACATGAAATAAGCAGTTCTTTCCTTAAAAAATTAAATGAATTAAATTAAAATTAATTTAAAACATTTTATATAGCCTTGAAAGAAGTGCAAGTACCTTCAATTCTGCATAAAAGGAATGTTGAGAGGTGATCCCATCTGCTGTGTGATCACAGAAGAAATTTCAGAGGTCTGGAGTACCTTCCTGCAGGTTTTTAATGATGGAAAATAAACACAAATAAATTTAAAATTGGACAGCTTAGAGTAAACAGGGGTTTGGCCTACATACCTACTTCTGAATATATGTTTTCATGTTTTTGATATGTCAAAAATAGTTGGACGGCACAAAAATTTAATTTGGCTAAAGAAATAGAGGTTGAGCATATTAAATATTCTTACATACTCAATAGTTTTGACTCACAAAAATTCATCATTTAAAAATTGTCCACTCATCAATTTTATGGGATTAAGAATCAATGCAGAATAATATGTTAATTCATAAATGTTTGCTATACATTCTGGATACTTTTGAGTATTATAATCCCTAAGAAGATTTTTAAAAAGAAAGATGAAGAATGTTTGATTGCAAATCTATTCATAATCTTGCTCAATCAGCAGTATTGCTACTAGTAACGCTATGAAGTTCACAGCAAGTCTACTGAATTGCTGGAGTGTGACACAGCTGGCTGGTTATTTTGGGTTTCTTAATGCTTGCCCTGATTATGTGGCATTCAGCTAATTATATGACTAAATATCTGACTCAACTACAGAGTAGTTAATTCACTGACCACATATGGACACAACAATGTTAATCTTTCCTTCCAGTGAAAAATTAGACAATCATTCCAAGGAAAATGAATATACTGGACCCCTAGAGTTAGCATACATTATATTTTATGATGTGGCCCTCTGTCATGCTATTTTCAGTATCTCTATTTCCATCCCTCACAAAGCTTGGTTGGGCTATGCTTAGGTCATAAAAACTCTACAATAAAGCTCACGTGAATCAATTACTCTTTGATCTCGTGGTGCTCTGCAATCATTTAGCATTCTTTGCATCATATACATTCATTTGTCTCCTAGATCAATACTATTCTCCAGAAATATTCTTATTCTCTTAGTTTACTTTTGCTTCCTAGTGGAAAGTACCTGTCTTTCAACACCCAATTTCACTGATGAATCTCTTGTTAGTTCTTAAGATACACATGGCCAGACAGTTATGCTTAAGGAATATGCTGAGTCAATCCTAAAAGTCAATCCTAAAATCCTAAAGAGTGTTAACCAACATGGGAGGAGAGGCGTTTTTAAATAAGTGATAAGAAAAAATAATGAAAAGCATAATGTAATCAAGTGATTTTTTTTCCCCCTGAAAAGATAATGCTGTAGAATGTTATTTTTGTTCTGTTTAACTAGGTTGGCTCTGATTATTTTCACAGTTATAGAGAAAATGAAGTATAGATGTTGTCTTTTTCTATCGTAGAAATCCTCTGAAAAGAATTGCTGAGGAATTGTTTTAGTGGAAAGATATATCATGTTAACTGTAATGTTACAAATGTTGTCTGTTTTTACCTGAGGAAGGAGAAGTGTCTGTAATAGTGATGTTCTGAATGCATTTTCCCCACAGGATCCAAATTCATCTTATAATTAACTTGGTTAGAATTTTAGATTATTTTTAAAGTTGGCATGGAGCACAGTTTTGGACTTGAAAAATTACCATGTCCTCAATCTTCCATGAATTCCACAGTAAGATGTTCATTTTGGCTTCTGTTCACATGCAGCTATTTTCCAAGGCAGTCCCATTCATAATATTCTTACTGTGATGGGAATGAATAGTATCTAATCTCATATAGTACACAGATCATGGCTAGAACAAATACTATATCATACGATATAGTGGCATAATTAAGTATATATAACTTGAAAAAGTTGTTTCTTTCTAAATAATATGATGTGTTATTTTTGTTTTGTTTTGTTTTGTTTTCTCTGAGGAGCTCGTCCTAAATAACAGACTTCACTTAATTGTATGAGATGTTTGTTGTGGAAGCTAAATGTTGTCAGAGATCTAGAAAGTAATAAGATGTATTAATTGAGAGAGATAAGGAAAGATATAAAAGCCAGTATTTTTAATAGCAGAGCACACACTTTACTCTTTAATTAAATCTAACTTGTTTGAGAATTTAATTAAAGTGGCAAAGAGCTCAAGGAAGAATATTGTGAGAAACTTTCATAACGCAGTCAAACCTGCAAAAATACAGAAAGAAGAAATCAGCTTATATCCCCTTTTCTTTAAAGGCTGATATAAGGAAAGAAAAATAAATCGTGTGTGTGTATGTGTGTGTGTTTTCATGAAGCTGTAGATTGAATAGATTTAAATGATTTTTTCTAAATTAGCAAACTCTTGTTTGTTTTAAATCTGACTTTTCACTTATTAACTAATTAAAACTTGCCTTTTTTAGCAAATTAAAAATATTTTTAAGCTATCTTTTAAATTGAGTATCCAAAGATCTGTGTGATAGAATCAAAGAAGCGTCACAAATTGGTTGAAGACAAAATTCATGGTGCTTTTCAAAGCTCCCTTTCAGCATAAGACTGAAATCAGGTTACAAGAATAAAATCAGGTGCAAGCACTTTGTGAGGCCCTGGAGCTTTAGTGGGAAGAACAGGACATCAGATTCTGTCCCTTCTCCCCAAAACACAAAACGTATGTGGCATGTTAGGGGAAAATAGACATTTTGAGGATGTGCTCAAAAAGAACAGAAAGATACTTGGTAGCAAGTGCTTCTCTGAATTATTTAATATCCCAAAAAGGCATATTAAATGTGATAATTCCACTTTTCTAACTTTTCTTTCCCATTTAGGTTGGTAGAGAGCAATTACAAATACGTTTGTGGAAAATACTATAAGGAATTGTACTTTCACTTGACCTCAGGATACAGAAAAGCTACCTTCACTTGATTATGTTGATAAAGTTCTTAAAATGACTTAAGCTTAACAAGTAGTGCAGATTGGAACATCAAGTCTAATATGTTTTACTTACTTGTAGAATAGCATGTGGTTTAGATTGCCGACTGCATGGCAACTGAACTTTGTGAATTTACCATCATAAATTCACTTATTAGGAATTCATATCATGTGGTTTTATGAAGATAACGAACAGCAAAGAGTATTCTTAGAAAACAGGTTGAATTAATATAAATGACAATTTGAGCCTATACTAGGAGATCACGTTATTGAGGACAATATTCCTGAATATGTGGTAACTTACTGAAATATAATTTTACCAGGCAGATTATCTTTTCTTTTCCAAACTGGTGAAAAGAAAATGCTTGTTTCCCACTCTTCTTTTTATGCACACCATTTTAGGAGTAAATGTTTCATATTTATTTTTCATTTGTCCATTAATTTTTTTCCTCTTCAGGTGTAATCTAGCCCCTGTGGTGGAGTTTGCTGCAGATGTGGGAACTAAATCAGATTTTATTACCATGAATCCATCAGTTGTACAAAGAGCATTTGGAGGCTTTCGGAATGAGAGTGACAGAGAAAAATTTGTGCATAGACTTTCCATGCTGAATGACAGTGTCCTTTGGATCCCTGCTTTCATGGTCAAAGGAGGAGAGAAGCACGTGGAGTGGGTTAATGCATTAATCCTTAAGAATAAACTGAAAGTGCGAACTGCCTATCCATCATTGAGACTTATTCATGCTGTCAGAGGGTAAGTGTCTGGAAAGGACCAGTCTGTCCTTGGCACAATGGAACATATAACTAAACATTTTCCCTAGACAGGAGGGAGCCTCAGTAAAATCTCCCAATGGATATATGTTTCCACTTTTTTTATAATGGCTATTCTATTTATCAACTTGAATTTTGTTTATGTACCATATTATTTTAGCTCACTCTCTTTCTTGAAAAAGCAAATATTTGAACTTGGCACTTACTTATGTCTGCTTTTATGTTTTGCTGTGTTAAAAAGTAGTAAGGATTCATAGTAAAGTTAATGAATTTGAGGTAAGAAAACTACCAACAGAAGTTCTATATGGCTACTGGGCAATATTGTGGAAGCATAAATGTTAGATGTATTTAAGGAGCAATTAAGTCCCATCTGTAGTTAAGAGGCCTACCAGAGATGGAGAAGGCTGGCTGAGATGACATGCCTTAATGCTCCCCCGGCCACAAGTCACAGATGTCATTTTTATGAATTAAGTCAACATTTCCCTTTTATTAATAAAAGCTCAGATGTAAAACCTAAGAAACAGACTTTTATTTAAAAGCGGCAAGTGACCAAAAGGCCAAATTCAGTCATGCATACGTATAAATCTATAAAATATGTAATACAAATATAAGCAATGATGTACTTTATTGAATATCTACTGTCAGATATTGGAGACAGAAAAATGAAGAATGCTGACCACTGCTTTAAAGGAATGCATAGGTTTTATGGTAGAAACAAACCCATATATAACTAGCTAGGACATAAACTCATGGTAAGGTGGTATATTGTAATGAGTATAGTATTTGTTTCTCATATTAGCAAAGAAGACTTAAAAGTCTAGTCAAGTCAACTAGACTTGAAGAGCGGAATAGTTATTCACCAGGAATAAAAAGAAAAGGAGACAGAGACAGGGACAGAGAGATGGCAAAAGAGAAAATGAAACAGAAGGAAATATTATTGCATTATTAGAGTGAACTGAGAAGGAAATAAGTACATGGTAAACTTGTGAAATAATGGAGTCCATTGTGGGGCATTGGAATACAAATTTAGAAATATAACTTACGATCTGGTTAGGAAGAGAATCAATTTTATTTTGCATAAAGCAAAGTTATATGTGTGAATTTAGGAGAGTAAATCTTGTAACAGCTGACTTTGCATGGGCAAGAAGAGGTGCTAAAGGTGTGAAGACCAATTCCACTTTTTGATTAATTTACTCATAAGATGATAAAGATGTAGGGCAGAATCAGTGGCCATGGGAAGGAAGGGCAAGTGCAAGGAACCTATTAAGTAGAATGGCTGGAAGTTCTAAAAGAAAAAAGGTTTCCAAATGCAGAGTTAAAAATAGTCTGCTTCAAAAGCTGTAATTGGGGCTGGGCTAAGGTAGTTTTCATTGTGTTTTGTTAATGTGATACTTTCCTTCCGGGATTTACGATTTCCTTGGTTAAGACTCAAGACAGTTTCTTGGATTGTGTTATTCTGTACACAATTAAATTGCATTCTTATAATTAGATCATGGTTATTCAACATTCATTCTTCTGATGTTTGACATGAAGCTTCAACAAAGTAAGATAAAATACATTCATTTGGAGGATAAGTAATATTTTTTTTAATTACGAAGATTCCTGGTAATTACAATCTGACTCTGAAGAAAAGAATCTGTTTTTAACAGGGTAACTTTATACAGCATTGTGCTAAGAACACATCTTATTTTTTGACATGTTAATGTTGAATATCATTTGAGTGTGAATTTTAAACATAACACTCTATCTTACTGTCTTATACACAGACACGCTCTGACACACACGTGCACATATACCTACACACTTCAGTGATAGCTTATTAGATTCAAAAACAAATATTTTATAGTAATTACTCCTTGATTATAGGAAACTAATAAATTTTAAGATTACTCTGATTTATTACTATTTTTAATAGACTATTTTTAGAGCAGTTTTAGGTTCACAGCAACATTGAGAGGGAGGGACAGAGACTTCCCATATACTCTCTGCCCCCACAACGCAGAGCCCCATTATCAACATCTTGTACCAGGGCTGTACATTGGTTACAACTGATAAATCTACACTGACACAACATTATTACCCAAAGACCATAATTTTTACAACAGTTCACTCTTAGTTTGTATATTCTGTGGGTTTGACAGATGTATAATAACATGTATCCACCATTATAGTATCGTACAGAGTAGGTTTGCTTTCCTAAAAGTCCTCTGTGTTCAGCCTGTTTATCCATACCTCCCCACTAACTCATGGCAAGAACTGTTTGTTTGTTTGCTTGTTTTTGTCTTCATAATAAAAATGTATTGCTGAGCAATTTTCCACTGAGCTGATATATCATAGTAAGAGATGCATTTACTCATCTCATATATTTAGATTTTATGTAGTTTTCTGTTATTATAGATAATGTCCACTATCTTCTTTTTTTATTATGTTCAGTTTGTTTGTTTTTTTATTGTCTCTATTGTTTTGCCTTTTTTCAAATATCATGTAATAGGAATCATACAGTATGTAGCCTTTTCAGATTGTCTTCTTGCACTTAGCATTAAGCACTTAAAGTTCCTCCATGTCTTTTCATGGCTTGGTACTCATTCTTTTTAGTACAGAATAATATTCCATTGTCTGGTTGTACCAGTTTATTTATTCATTCACTTGTTGCTTCCAAATTTTGGCAATTATGAATAAAGCTGTTATACACATCTGTGTGCAGGTTTTGGGGTGGACATAGTTTTCAACTCATCTGAGTAAATACCAAGGAGTACAATTGCTGGATCTTATGATAGGACTATGTTTAGTTTTATAAGAACTTGCCAAACTGCTTTCCAAAATGGTTGCACCATTTTATATTCTCAGCAGTAAGAAATGAGAATTCCTGTTGCTCCACATCTTCACCAGTTGGTGCTTTCAGTGTTCTGGATTTTAGCCCTTCTAATAGTTATGTAGTGTTATTTCATTGCTGTTTTAGTTTGCACTTGACTGATGACATATGATGTAGAGCATCTTTTAATATGCATATTTGCCATCTTTATCTCTTCTTCAGTGAGATGTGTGTTGAGGTGTTTGGCCCATTTTTTTAGTCAGGATGTTGGTTTTTTTTTGCTGTTGAGCTTTAAGAGGTTTTTGTATATTTTGGATAACACTCCTTTATCAGATATATCTTTTGCAAATATTTTCTCCCAGTCTGTGGCTTGTTTTCTCATTCTCTTGATAGTGTCTTTTGCAGAGCTTAAGCTTTTGTTTTTAATGAAGTCCAGCTTATCAATTATTTCTTTCATGGGTTGTGCCTTTGGTGATATATCTAAAAAGTCATTGCCAAACCCAAAGTTATCTAGATGTTCTTCTATGTTACCTTTTTTTTAAAGATTTTATTTATTTATTTGAGAGAGACAGAGGTAGTGACAGAGAGCTCGAGCAGGGAGGAGAGGGAGAAGCAGATTCTCCGCTGAGCCGGGACTTGATCCCAGGACCCTGGGATCATGACCTGAGCCAAAGGCAGACACTTAACCGACTGAACCACCCAGGTGCCCTATCTTCTAAGAGTTGTATAGATTTGCATTTCACATTTAGATCTATCATCTATTTTGAGTTAATTTCTGTGACAGATATAAGATCTCTGTCTAGTTTCTTTTCTTTATATGTGGTTGTCTGGTTGTTCTAGCACCATCTGTTGAAAAGACTATCTCTGGGGCACCTGTAAGGCACACATCAGAGGACAGGAGAAAGGTTTCAGCACGTGTGCAGTCTGGGTTCTCCCACCAACCTCCAGCCCAAGATGGCACCAGGAGAATCTTAAAAAAAAAAAAAAAAAAAAAGACTATCTTTGCTCTGTTGTATTACATTTGCTTCTTTCTCAAACATTAGTTGACTATATCTATGTGTATCTATTTATGGGCTCTTTACCTGTTCTGCTGATCTATTTGTCTATTCTTCACCAACATCATGCTGTCCTGATTATGCTACTTCATTGTAAGTCTTGAAGTCAGGTAGTTTCAGTCCTCTGACTTTCTTCTACTCCATCAATATTGTGTTGAATATTCTGGTCTTTTGCCTTTCCATATAAGCATTGGAATTAGTACTTTTGTTCCCTAAATTGTGTTTTATATTTCTTCATGCACTATCAATATCAAAACACAAAACAAGTGGTATGGTTGGAATGGAGCATGTTCAATGAATTAGAATCCAGATAGAGTTGTACATGATCAACAACTTTGAATTCATATACACTTTTTATAGACTTTCCTAAATATAGAAAGTACAGAGCATTTTAATAACTAGTTCATCAATACTCTCCTTTTATGTTTCATCTTATCCACTTTTCCTTCCATAACCATTATAAGCTACTTCACTAATTCCTAAGCATTTGATTCCAAAGAGTAACAAGGCAAAACAAACTTCTGACCACTGATGAAGTTAATGGTACACTTTCTTTTGATTACTGTGCTTTAGGTGTTTTTAACAAGACTTATTTTGAATTCTCCAGGAGGAATTTACCTTGGTACTTTACTGCTTATACGTCTACATTCTCCCCCTCAAGTGACAAGTGATTGAATTCTAAAAACTGTGACCCAGGATATAAAAAGTAGCTCTAGAGTTGCCTTTCACCTTTCAAATACATTGTAAATTTGTACACGTGGTATATGTGAAAAGTAATTTCATTTATGGAATTAATGACACAAACACATTAATGCATGCAGTGTAGCATTTCAACATGTTTGTACTCTACAAAGCTACTGAAACTCTGAAAGAAAATAAGGAAGTATGAATGCTGATGAGACAAAGATTCACATGATATGAAAGCAAGAACAAACTCCCCGAAGATCTGTTCTTTAAGTATCTGTTTTACATCTCTCTGAAACACTGTGGTTAATAAAATTCAGGGAAATAGTTTAGAGAACTTCATAGCCTCTGTTGATTATTGGAGTTTGTTGTCTCTAATAAAAGGTTGGAGCTCCTAGTATGCGTAGTTTAGTGTGCATATAATCACTGTGT